CCATCTTCGCTGGAACGAGTTCCATACACTCAAGGTTGAGGTCGGCGTGAACGAAGGCTGGCGAAGCATGAACGCCAAGGTGCTGCGATACTGCGCCTTTCCAGGTCTGCGCTACGTGCTCTGCGTCTTTGTCTCGCCTGACATGGAAATGCGCAGGTGCAAGCTTTTCTCGAGAACCAACAACGAGCTTGAAGGCGAGGCTCCAGGGCTTGTCAAACCTATTCCGATCACTGCCGCTACCCGTATCGTGCTGGACGGTCGTCGGCTCTTGGCGCTGCCAGACGTATTGGTCCTTTCCGAGCGCTTTCCCGCCGAGGTGTCTCTCAATTTGCACTCGATCTTGGAAGACGCCTTGCTCTACGATGAGGATTGACCTCGTCTCGGCTTGAACCGGACTCTGCGCTCTTGCCACCGCTACGTTTTGCCGTAATCAAAATAGCAGTATTTTGCCTTGCACGTCCATTCTTCCCAGGCGCTACCACTACCCTCACGTGCCACGTTGCCAGCAAAACTGCCAAGTTGATATCTGGCGCCACGATTGCATGCAACCTCCCGACCGACGCATGGTTTGTTATATGAACAAGCGCCTTGTTTCGATATTATCAAGTTGATACTATGTATTACGCGTGCTCGCTGTACTCGTCGACGCGGCAGTACGGGCAGCAGCCTTGGCGCAAGTGCTCAAACTCAAAGTCGTCTTCGTGGAAAAACATGCGGCAGCTTGGCGAGAGGTGCACCTTGATGTCCGGGATCATGTTCTTGTAGTACTTGTAGCGCAGCGCTTTCGTCGGGTATTTCACGACAAACACTTCGTTGGGTCTCAAACTCAAAAGCACTTTGGCATCCACGACGAGCACACGGTATGGCGCGCCGCGACCATGCCCGCCCTGCTTGTTGAGCGCGCGCTCAAACAAATTCCCCATCTGCGGCTCGTCGTCCGTATGGTCGTTGAGCTGCATGCTCTGCGCGCCGCCGTGCTCGGACGTCTTCCACTTGTCGTTGTTATTGATGTCACCTTGCTGGATCGGCGGCAACGTGTCGATCAGCGCCATCGCCTCGTCGTCGCTCAAGTCGGGCGTCGGCGCAAACTCGACCAGCGGCAAGTTGTCAAACGACAAAAACGACCGCACAAACGGGTGGGCCGAGTTGACGCAGACGTCGCCGCCGCTCGTCGGGTGCAGCAGCGGGTTGGTCGTCGACGACCGATAGTCAATCGGAAGCAAGTCGTCCCGGTCCGAATATGGCTTGGTCTGGATGACCATGCTCGTGAGGTCGATTGTTTGCTGCCACTCGGGCCGGACGCGCATCGTCTGGAGCCGCTCGTACATGAGGCGCGCCAGTTTGAACGCCTCGAGCTGCTGCGCGTGCTGCGCCAAAGTGAACGCAATGCGCGCGATGGAGATGCCCGGTGGCGGCGTCTCCTTCCCCAAGACGTTGAGAGAAAGCGCGACGCGTGGAAGAGGGTCTCGGGCTGCAGCGTCGTGAACGGCTCGTCCGTGTACGCAAAGATGAGGCTGTACGCGTAGTAGATTTTGCCGTCGACTTCGTGCGACAAGGCCGACGCGAGGGTCTTTTGGTCGTCGGCCGTCACATTCTCGGGCGAGGACGCTTTGATCGAGCCCAGCATCTCGTCGCAGATGCGCCAGTGGTAATACGATGCGTCCTTGAAGCGCGTCTCGGCGACGGCCGACGCAATGAGCTCGTCGAGGAGCGCCATGCACTTTTCCGGTCGCTTGGCGAGCGTGTAGGCGCCGAGGGCATCTTCAAACCGATCTTGGGTCGCGAGCCATTCGGCATATGGCACGTAGACATCGGCGAGGTTCTTGACCTTATCCTTGTGCTACAAGACGCAAATTGGACCATACATGTCCATTCTAGCACCCTCGAGAGGCGACTACCTTTTGCGCCAATCGAACCGCTTCTTCCCACTCGTGGCAGTCAATGTGCATCTTGAGGAGCGCGTCAAAGTTGCCAATCTGCACAAAAGTCATCGGACTTGGTTGATACATTGATAGATTGCGACCTTGACGTAGACGTCGCGGCACTGCTTGAACTTGCCGGCCTTGTAGAGGTAGTCGGCGCAGAGGGCGAGCACTTGGCTGTCGGCGTCTGGGCGCTGGACGACTTCAACCAAGTCGTTGTGCCAGCCGCGCGCGCCCATGATCTGCACCGCTTTGAGGAGGTTGCCGCTCGCAAGGTACATTTCCGAGGCCGCGCGCCAGTCGTGGACGTCCTCGGCCCACTTGGCTTGGTCCAGCACGAGCTGCTTGACGTCAATCGCTTTGCTCTGCGCCGCAAACTTCTTGGCTTCGTCCCACATGCGCAGGTCCGAGAACATTTGAATCGCGCGCCCGGCTTCGTCGGCGTCCATGAGGACTTTGGCGGCCAGCTGGAACTTGCTCTGGTACGCGAGGATCTCGGCTTGCATGAGCAT